TCTAGGTGATCCCATTCTGGCAGGGGAGTTGGACTAGATGAGGTCCCTTCTAAGCCCTAACATTCTGTGACACTAATGCAAAACTATAAACTTTGTTCTTTTAACAGCACTTTTGCAGTAGGAAAACTTTGGGGCAACAAAAAGAAAAAATAAACAAACTAAAAAAATCCTCAGACACTACACTGCACACGAGACAACTGGTATGAGCCAATTCACTCCATAATCATCGAGGAAGGCACTGTGTTTTCTTACTCACCAGCACCAAATGGGATGTATGCAAATTTCTCTCCAGTTGCTGGGTTATCTTGGAGGTACCGGTCAGGCTTGAAGTCTAGAGCGTCTTTCCAGGTGCCCCTGAGCCTGTGGTTAATGCTGGGGGACACACAAACCTGATGTCCAGGTGGGATATCATATCCAGCAACAGTCTGTGAGAGAACAGACAAGACAAAACTGCTCCATTTCTCTTTTTGAAATGTTACCTGAAGTGCTCTATCGTGAGGCTTCAATTTCAAAAGAGACTTTGGCTAAGCCTATCAAATATTAGTGCAGTCTAATCTTTATTTTTTTACTTCTACAGGGCATAATGTTCAAGTAGTTGCAGGAACCTTTCATCCGCTTTAACAAGGCTGGCAACTCTACAGAAAGAATTTTCTGAAAGAATTAACTTAAAATTTATTGAAAGCATTTGTCATAGTAGGAACATTAATTTGAAAAAAATTATTGGACTTGCCTGATTTCTCTCTCTTATTTGCACCAACAGCAAGTTTTCTTTCAGATTTACCTAGCTTGTATTGTATTAAGTGCAAGACAAATTTTTCCAAGTCAGCTATTAAAAACATTTGGCAAACAAAAAGTATCTTTACGCAGTAACACCAAACTGAACTCAGGTGAGACTGATGGCTGTTGGCTGTTACTATGTCCCCTCAGAGCCTTTCCTTCTCCGGGCTGAACAAACCCTGTTCTCTCAGCCTTTGCTCACAGCACAAGTGCTCCGACCCCTGACCATCCCGGTGGCCCTCTGCTTGCTTCACTTTATCGATGTCTTCACTGCTGGGGGCGAGAGGGTCCCAGAAGTGGACACAAATAATTCCAGAGGAAGGTAACAACTACCAAGTTCAAAGTACTAATTGCTTTCCTCAGTCAACACCAGCTACACTCTCACTGGTTTAACCCAGGCTGCTATCGGCTCTCACCCCTGCCAGCAAACACTGACCACTCCTGGTCCACTTCTGCCAACCGGAACACTCCCGACCAGGCCTGTTCCAGCCCTGTTCTACCACAGTAAATTCCAACACGTGTACTCACTTGGGGAGTTCTGGACAATCTCAGAATCGCCATTACAGGGGGTCTAAGCCTAAAAGTTTCTTTCAGACAACGATCCAGCAAACTGAAATGCTCAAGCTGAAAATACAGGGAAAATGAGACATCAGAATACAGACAAGTTTATTCAACACAAACAAAATGTTGTTTTACATCACTTAAAAACAAACTTAAAAAAAAAACAGTGACTAAGAGCTGGTATTCAAATGTCCTTCATCAGCTACCCCGACCTTTTTTTTTTTTTCCCTTTGATTCAATTAAGAAGGAAACAAATCTCTGACCAGTGCAATCAAACATAACGAGTTTCCTACTAATCTGTTTTCCAAGTGTTTTCAATGCCTAAGCCTAATTAAAGAACAAGGTCACATTGCATCCCTTCCCTCAATGGAAATATGAGGATCTTCCTCCTCTATAGGACTATTGTTTCTTAAAGAGGCACTGTAGGAACTGTAATTTCCTTAACACTGATTCAAGAACAGTAGGAACCTGAAAATTTGCTTGGAGTGGAGGAGATGAAGGATATATTCTGGCAAACAGGGTTGTCACAGGGTGACCGTGCCAGATTCTAACAAAAGCACATGATTATGTTTTACATTTGTTTGTTGTCTGGTTTGGATTTTTTAGAAAAATAAGCATCTAAAATTATAAAAACGCCCAGAAGGAATAATAGCACATACAAACCTGCTCGTAAGTTAACGGTGGCAAGTCATCCCCACAAACTGCTTTTTGTTCTGCATAGCACTGTTCCTGTACCGACTTGTTCCCGGCCATGAAGAAGCCAAACCAGGCACTTGTGGCGGCAGATGTGTGATGCCCCGCCACCAGCATCACAATAAGCAATCCTGCGATTTCATCATCTGTCAGCTGACGGCCATCCCTAGGACAAAGGGAAGGAGCTTCATTTGATGAGGTTTCTAGATACAACAGTACTTACAATTTCCTCTAATGTACTTCCTCCTTCTCCTCCTCTGTTGCCTACCCTAAATTGAACAACAAAAGATCAAGAGAGAAGGAAGCAGAGGGAAAGCATCTCACCAGGGTCTTAAAGAAAATCAATACCAAACAGCCAGCAAAGAGAAAGGAAGTAACCTCTTGGCCACCGATAAAAGTCTCCGAAATCTGAATAACCATTTACAAGTGAAGATTTTAAGCTGTTCTTAAGAATGCCAGTTCTTGCTAGAAACAAAACCAGTTCAGAACATGAGAGAATATTTCTTATTTTTTTGGTAGACAGTTTTAGCTGCTCTAAGCTAAAGTAAAACATCTATAAATGACAAGTCTCCAAGCCTTTGGCTTACTTGTATGAAGCATCAAGTAGGGCTTGGAGCATGTCGTCCTCCTTTTCCTTAGACTTCCGCCGTTCCTGGATAACCTTGTGTAAAATATTCTTTATTTCTTTGTGTGCTCGATCTCGACGTCTGCAATTCAAAACACTTCTATTAGTACTTTATACAAAGTAACATGTACCACGCTTATAAGGATTTATTGGGATGTCTAGAATAGCTTACAAACAAGAAATAGAATGGGGGAAAAAAAAATAAAAGAAACAACACAGAGGTTTAGACAAAAAGTTGCTTCGTCTGTTATTTCTGGTACCTGAAGCTCGGCAGAGGCAGCCAACCTGGAAGAAGCCAGGCAGCATTACTAAAACCGCCATACAAATCAGCATACAGCTGAGTCATCTTCTCATTCAGTAAGCTCCTTATTTCCTTCCCATGTAAGCAATGACTTGTTGTCAAAATGATAAGTTCTGAAAGAGCTTCAAGTAGGTCTGAGGAAAGATGTGAAAAATGTTACTGAAGATGCATTTCAGGCAAGATGCTAGGTTTTACAAGTTATTCTTTATGTTGTAGAAGAGAAGAAAAAGTAACTGAACACAGATTAGAGTTTTAGATTGGTTTACTAGAAGAACGAAGCATCCAATTTTAAATTTCTGTGTGCCTATCGAGTCTCTCTTCAAACAGCATTTTAATTACAGAATCACAGAATCGTTGGAGTTGGAAGGGACTTCTAGAGACCATCTAGTCCAACGCCCCTGCTAAAGCAGGACTGCCTAGAGTACATGACACAGGATTGCATCCAGGCAGGTTTTCAAAGTCTCCAGGGAAGGAGACTCCACAACCTCCCCAGGCAGCCTGTGCCAGTGCTCTGTCACCCTCACAGTAAAGTTCTTCCTCATATTCAGACAAAACTTCCCGTGTTCCAGCTTGTGCCTGTTGCCTCTTGCCCTGTCATCGAGCACTGCTGAAGAGAGGCCAGCTCTATTCTCCCTGCACCCACCCTGTAGAGGGTTCTAGACCTTGATAAGGTCTTCTCTCAGCCTTCTCTTCTCTAGGTTAAACAGTCCCAGCTCTCTCAACCTTTCAGAGAGTCATAAAGGTTGGAAAGGACCTTCCAGCTCATCAAGCCCAACCTATAGCCCTACACTAAACCATCTCCTGAAGTGTCCCATCCAACCGTTTTTTAAACACGTCCAGGGATGGTGACTCCACCGCTTCCTTTGGCAACCCATTCCAGTGCTTTCCTCCTAAGACATATGCTCCAGTCTCCCAGTTATCTTGGTTGCCTTCCATCGGACTCTCTCCAGCAGTTCCCCATCACTCTTGAACTGGGGAGCCCAGAACTGGACACGGTATTCCAGATGTGGCCTCACCAGGGCAGAACAGAGGGGCAGTATAACCTCCCTTGGCCTACTGCCCACACTCTTCTTAATGCAGCCCAGGATACCATTGGCCTTGGTGGCAAGGGCACATTGCTGGCTCATAGTTAACTCACTCTCTACTAGGACTCCAAGATCCTTCTCCTCAGGGCTGTTTTCCAGCAGGTCTGCCCCTAACTACATGAGGGCATGGCGTTGTTTCTCCCCAGGTGCAGGACCCTACATTTACCTTTGTTGAGCCTCATCAAGTTCCTCTCTGCCCAGCACTCCAGCCTGTCCAAGTCATGCGGGAGGATAGCACAGCCCTCTGGTGTGTCAGCCACACCTTTCCGTTCTGTATCGTCAGCAAACTTGCTGAGGATATGCTCTGTCCCCTCATCTAGGTCATCAAGTATGTTAAGTAAGATTGGACCCAGTACTGACGCCTGGGGAACACCGCTGGTTACAGGCCTCCAACTCATCCCTGTTCCATCGATCACAACCCTCTGGGCTCACTGATTTCACCACTTTTTTTCTAAAGTATGTTCTTCAGGAAATTTATCTAGGAGACCTAGCAATCCTTTCACAGTAGGCCATGCAGCACAAGCTCTATCCTTAAACAAGTCATACAAAAACTTAACCTCAAAATCCAAATCCACAGGAAACCACTTAGTTTTGATGCTCACTGAATTATTTTTAAATAACAATATGCACATACTTAATAACATATACTTTTATGTTTATCTATAGTACGTAAATATATTCAATATTATACTAATATACTTGTAAAATATATAGTAAGATATATTTGATATATTATCTGCATGTTATAGATTCATATAATATGACTTACGAATATATATTTTTAAACATATAATATTTCTGACACTGTCATGCCACTGTGGGCTTGCAACAATAATGATGGGCCACATACATCTAGCAGGCTACTTAGATAAGACAGGTGGGGAATAGAAGAATTGCCCTCCAATCACTAACCTAACCTTATCCGCTTGAAGGATGCAGTTCTTTCATGTAGAGGATCCCTGAGCAAAGGTCTCTGACAGGCTCTCGGAAGTCAGAACAGAATCTTTTCCTAGAGACTAAGAGCTGGTTTCACCAAGCTGACTCTTATCACGCAAAACAAGCACAATACAGCCAGGCAACAGGTGCACTCTCTACTAGCTGACTAAAAAGCAAAATTAAAGAGAGTACTTTACTCCTGTCAATGATTTTCTCAGCCTCTTTAGTCTCCAACAGCCTAAAATTTGATTAAGGAAAGTCTGTATTCTGCATGCTTCTTCTGATGTTCTGCACAGTTTTACCTATGTCATCTTTCATTTCTTTAATACTGCACTAAATCATTTACCAAAACGTACCGCATTGGCTTTAATTCTTCCCCAGAAAACCCGAGGAAAAACGTATCTGATCTTGCTTACTTTTTTCTCCACTCTCTCCCCATGCTTTGAAATACTCCTTTGTTTCTTCTTCAATCACAGTCACATGCCGTTTCAATTGAGCAATACTTAGCCCAGTTCTCATCATCCTCTTTTGTTCCGAAAATACCTAGAGGAACCAACACAGAAAAAGCAATCGGTACAAGGATCATCTTATTAACGCAATCAACAACTTAATACTACTTATACTCAAAGAACACACAAAAGTAAAAGGAAATTCTAATTAGTAACGTAGGTTACAACAGACACTCAAGTTTAAATAAGAGACTATGTTCCGGGCAGGCCACAGAGCAGAGACAAGCACAATGTCCCTTGCAACACGCTGGCCCGTCTCCATCTCCAGTGTGACGGAGACAGGAATGGCACATGGGAGTGAACACATCCTCTGCGATTTCAGCTCCTCTCAATGCAAACCTGTCTGCAAGAGCCTTGGAGGGGGGAGACGGAGAGCGAAGCGGAGTTGACGTAGAGACTGCACATATTAAAAAACAATTACCAGAATTACTGCTAAGTAAGTAACTTCTTCCTTTTAAAGAGTCATCGGTTACGCTCTAACAAGCAGTCAGCTGTAAGGGGTGGCTCTTCTAAACACACAACTGGAAGTCACTGTCACACTAAGACACAGAGACTGAGCAGCTTGAGCAGATAGCAGGGGCCTCAAAGTTCTGGATGATCCATCAATGGTAGAACCAACACCAGTGTGAACGGTTCTCTAAAGGTCTTCCCAGCAGGTGTCTGAAGTGAAATCACGGTGGCAGCAACACCCAAAAACACCAGCTCACCTCCAGCAGAATGCATCTTGGGCACAACCCGACATGCAACCTCGCTAGCTTCAAATGGGAAAAAATACACAGCTATTGATAATGAGGGCATGCCAGTAGCAAAATCCCTTCATTTCCCAGCCGTGGTGGAAAAAGAGAAAAGAAAAAAAAAAGTAGCACAGGTGATCTTCTGAGGAACCTGAAGACACAGAGACAAAAAGGACGACAATCTCACCCAGGGCTGAGTAATACAAAAAGATTAACCTCTTGACTAATGCAGAACTCCAACATGCTCTAGGGCAAAAACTAGGGTAGCTCTAGGAAAAGATCTTATTTCAGAAAAAACAACAGTATACAGTGGACCAATGAGGAAGGCCTTCACCACCCTTAAGTGCCTGAAGAACACAGCTGTAAGAAATGCCCACTTCCAAGGAGCTTATAGAAAGTTCTTGAAAATGCCTGAAGGACGAGATTATATGCCATCAAAGAACTAGCTTTTGAACGAAGACAGATTGTTGAGGGTTTGGACTGGGCCAGCCACTGAATGCTGTCAGACACTCTCTAACACCCTCTCGCTCCCCAAACAGGAAGGAAAAGGGAATGAGGCAGACACACTTAGAGACTGCAAAATAAAATTAAAACACCTTTAATGAAACAGTAATAGAAATAATAAGGAAATGATAAAAATAGTGAACTATACACAAATCTGATATCAAGCCCAACTCTGCCCTCCCCGATCACAATCCCCACTGATGCTGTAGAGCAGGTGGCACTGGGCAAGTCCCAGGCTCAGAGGCAGAGGGGAGCTGGATACACGAGCTGGATTCACGGACTCAGGATCAGCATCAAAGGCAGAAGATTGGACAGTGTCCTACTCAGACACCAGCCACTGAAGAAGAAAAAGAGGCCTAAACCCTCAGGATCCGTCAGTTTTATACTGAATATGACTTACAGAATGGAATACACTTGCCGGTCACCTGTCCTGTCTGTTACTCACCAGAAGGGCAACCTTTTACCTCCCAGCACCCCCAGCATGACACACAAGATCCACCAGTGACCTTGGTCACTATAGGAGTAAGTATGAGCAAGAGCCTTTCCACATACCACTCCCAGGCAGAAACTGTAAAGCTCAGGTGTTATCACTGTCAGCAGCACACACTGTCCGCAAACACATGCTGCTGACTTCAGCAAGTGCAGCCTCCTAGAAGAGGCTGAGCTGAGAAGTAAAAATTACTGAACAGAACTGGTTCTGTTTAGTTCAATCCATGACACAAGATACTAAAATCTAGTGCTGCAAACTGTCAAATTAGTACTCCTGTATCTAGATATGGCATGGCATAAATGAAAAGTTGTCTCTCTCAAAGGTCTCTCAGATGGAAGACCTAAAGTTGCTTGTAAGGGAGAAGTAAACTATGTTCAGCAGCACGCTGTAAGGGAGGGAAAAAGGGACTCATTCAGTTTTGACTCTGTGATGGCATTAAATGCTTTAAAGAACAAAACATAGCATCCAGGCGCATGAGCAAGGTGGTAAATAAACAGACTAATTATCTGCAGTATACTAGAACTGCATATGAATACACGAGCCCTGAGCCAAGAGCTCAGGGATGCCTACTCACAATTTAAATTACACTACTATCCTACTCATATTTAAAACACATACCGTATTAGGGACATCATATACGACTCCCTTGCCAAAAACCGGTACAGTCATCCGAGAGTATACATCCTCTGCGTTCAAATCATCATTTTTACTATTGAAGAGCAGAGCAGCAGCATCACTACCCACTAAGTATGTTATTGGCTTGCCAAGTAGAGTGAAACTGAACACGGGTCCATACTAAGAGAGAAAAAAAAGAAAGTTTCTTTAAAATAAGAACACCACAAATCATTAAATCGGTATCTCTTTATGTACAGGCTTCCATAAATCACCCTACTAAGAAGAGTCCAGAAACTTAATAAAGACATATCACTTATCACTTACTAGTGATACCTAACATTACAACAAACAGAAAGGATTTTATATACGTTTTAAAACCATGTTAAAAAACATACAGAAAAGATCAAGTACATGACAAAAACTAGCAGGGAAACTACAGTGCATATAGCCTCCAGGCACCTCCAAACACCATCTCAAAAAACTCTGGATTTGGAGTTAGGCATAGATAATTAGGAGTAAATAACATTTTAGAGTCATCTTCAACAGGTCTTCATATACTAATTTTGGCTTTCATGGTACCTTATTTCACTAGAATTAAGGCTCTATGGCCTCAGTTCATTTCCTTTGGGCCGTAGACAATATCAAATCTACTGAGGCTTTAGACATCAGCCTTCTGGACACTGAAGAGGGCCCTAAAATTCATCAAATTGCCTACATAGGTAATTAGCTACATGCCAGCCCAGATTAGTATGAGTGGCACTAAACGTTCCCAATTAAAGCAAGAAATAACGTCATAAAACGGCTTTTTCATTACCTCGTGATTCAGCTAGGAGTGTTACCCAAATACACAAGCATATTTTTTAAACATGAAACGCAACAGAGGCCTTAAAAAACACTATTCCTCCAACAAGGACGGACAAAGAGATCTGAAGAAACCAGAGCCTGCTCTGCACGTTCCAGTCTGGATTCAAGGTGGCAAACAAGAAGGAACTGATTTTAAACAGCTTCCAGGTAGTGAACTCAGTAGATTCACAAAAACATTTCAGCATACGCTCAGCCAGCTGTGTGGGAAAACATACCTTCTTGTAAGCACTTTCCAAAAATTCCGTGGGATTTTTTCCAAATGCAATTGTGTGTCCAAGGAAAGGGATGCCTGATGAAACATAAGGTGGGTATTTCTGAGGAAGAAAAAGAAAAGTACTGATTGTCTGCAGAAAAGAAGACGTCCATTGGCACAAAAACTGAACACAGAGGAGGCTCCATACGCATTGCAGCCAAGCTCTTTTGTGACAAGGCCAACTTTGGACAACTGACTTGTTGTCTTCAACAGAGTACGGGTGAGCCACATTTAGGAGCAGCCGAGGTTAAAATCAAACGTACGTGACTAAGATTCGTGCTGGCCAGCCTCAGTTTAGCAACAGGTTTCCTACAAACGGGGAATCCTCCTCTTACACTGCCCAGCCGGAGCAGTGCCAGGCAC